TGAGGCGGGGGAGTGGCGCTGAGCAGGCCGGAGGCAGGGGTCGGGATGGGAGCAGCCTGGACGGAAACCAGGAGAGTGCAGCAGGAGAGGAATGCGTTGCCGGGCCCCTGCTTTCCTGGCTGCTGGGTAACTTGGAGCGGTTTTCTGCCTTCTGCCTTTTCCTCCCAGGCTCCCTTCTTGCCTCCTTGGCTGGCCACTATTCCCAGTTAAGCAGACCTTATTTGGACCTCTTAACCGGCTGGGGAAGCCACTTGCTCTATGACCCGTTGCAGGGACGGTGGGTTAAAAGTTCTCTTGACAAAGCTGAATTGTCCTGGGAGGAACTGAGGGAGCGCTTCAGCTGCCTCTGTCAGGGATCTGCGCTGCTCAGGGGACAGACCCAAGCCGCTCTGAAACTCCTGAAGGGACAGGATGGAGACTTTAACGTCCGTGGCCTAAGTGTGTGGACTGACGTACTGATGGAAGTAGAGGAATCTCTGAGGAAAGAAGCAGAGAGCTAATGTGTGAATGCAAAAGCAACATGAAAACTTCTGAAATCCAGCAAATCTGCTTAACTCTGTTTGATGAAAGGCAAGAAAACCATACTTCACTTTGCGTTGGAAGACAAGTGGTGTGACTGCTGATCACATTGTTTGTGACTGCCTGTGAAGTCTGTCAGGGAGGCCTGGTGCTTTCTTGTGTTTGTGCTGTTAATTCTGGTCACTGCAGGAAATGTCATCCTTTTCAGTACTTGCTGCTCACCTAATAAAATGAAGAAAATGCTTCCTGTTTAAAACTTAGAATAAATAGTTTTATGTTTAGAAAATTACAGTTCAGATATGGTCATGGTAGTAGTCTTGTCTCTGACTGTTGAAGGCTGACCAAAAGCTCAAAGGAAGGTGGAGTTTTAAACATGAAAACTCCAAAATCAGTATTAATTTTGTAGCAGTTGTCTTCGCTGGGCTGGCTGCTTTCATGCTTCTTTAGATCTTGCACATGACAGCCCCTGGGCCTAAATGAAGGCGAGAGAAAGCCAACTGGAAAGCTTATTGAAAAGTACTAGAATTAGAAGTCTTTATTAGTTGCTATATTATATGATAATATGCAAGCATTTCCTAAGAAAACTGCAGTAAAATGTAGGGTGTATTGTGTGGTTCTCTTTTCCATAGTCAGTTACATGATTTTGATTTTTTTTTTTTGTGGAAACGTAAAGTGAGTGGCCAACTATTTTTTTTTTTATTAGATGACAATTTTTTTTCTTTATTCTCTTATGTTTAATCAGTTTCTGTGAGCAAAACTTGATAGGGTAGTTTCAATCTAACCTTAGCACTGTCTTTTAAAATGAGTACTGTAATGCGGAAGTAACATGTGCATGTTTATTTTGCACTGTAAGCTACGACCAAAAGTAAGGAGTGTGATAAGAGTGTAGTTGAGGAAGCTGGGGGGAAATTATGTAAATACCACAAAAAGAGGTCTTCATTAATCTTTTGTATGGAGTACCTGTCAAAGAGTTCCTGTAGCTCCTATTTCAACATCAGTTGAGATCTCTTCTGTTGCTGAAGTCCCTTTAGGAAGGGTTAGAAGGTGCTTTGCTTCAGCTTATAAGCTTAAAAAAGCAAACAGGATATTAAAAAGTATAAACTGGATTGAAGCTAATTAGAGTAATAGCCCGTATTACAACATAAAATATTGTACGCAACTATGGCAGATATTTCTGTAAAACAAAATGAGAGTGGGAAGGATCTTGTGATTTTGAAATGGAATCAATTAGTACAAGGGGATAAATGTTTATCTGGGAAAAGAAATAATGCTTATTCGAACTTGCATGGAAATAATTAAAGACTTACATAAGTTCTTATTCTCCTTTATGCTACCCTGGGGAGATACTCCAGGGTAGCACACTTTAAATAGAAGGACAGGCTGCTAATCTCCTATCAAAAATATGACTGTTTTCTTTGGATTCCTTGCTACATCATGTCAGTGAGGCAATGAAGTTAATGGAGATGTGCAGATGAACATATTCTGAAAGCTACAGCTGTGGCAGTTGTCCTGCTCTTTCTTAAATGGGGTTGTCTCCCCTTCTGGAAATTGTGGTGGTGGTCAGTCTTAAACAACAGCTCCGTGTTAGCAGACCTCATTGGAGACAGTATTTCTGTGGTATCAAATGGAGTATGAACAGTCTATAAGCATTTAAAACTTGCTTAGAAAAAAAAAATGCTTAGAAGTATAAAGCATGAAGTTTGAACTTATGTTGTCTAGCCACAGTTCCCTGTGATATGTAGTTTTGGCATTTGGTATGGAAACTCTGCACTTGAGCTTGCTCTTAACGCTTTTAACAGGCGTAAGGCTTTTTGTCTGTTAGAATACTTTTTCCTATCAGAGGTTCCTGATGAATGATACACCCAAAGATACCAGTCAAAGTCATTCCCTTCTTCCTGACTATATGTTAAGGCTGAATATCAATCGTTGCAGTAATGTTACAGTAACAAAACAAACCTTATCAGTGCTCCTTCTTCTGCATGGAGTTCTAACAGGGAAGGTTGGGTAGGAGCTGCTGGCATTCCCCCTCCTGGTGAGCGATAATTCATCTCAACTATTAAAAAATTCACTGTTCCCAGGTACCTGAGTGTCTGGGACAAATTTCAGTGAGAGTTAAGTCTTGTTTTCGCTTGTCAGGGTTGGATATGTTTCCTCATCTACTCAGCATGTTGACCATGAGTTAAGTCTCTTAAGCAGCTTTTAACTATTTCTAGCATAAATCTGATGCTGTAGAGTTTGTACTTGCACTATTTCAAGTCTTGCTTTTTGATGTAAGTTCATCTTTCTCTCAAAGCTTTCTCTTATAAAATTGAGTTTATGAAGACAGATGTCTTCTTTCCAAGTAATGTATCATTACCCCTTTTACTAGCTAAGTGCAACTGTGGGATCTTCTACTGGAATAGCTAGGAAGTAATAGGCCCTTCAGTGTGACCTTCAGAAAGTAAAGAAGTAATAATGGAGGGGAGGCAAGGCATGAGCTGATGTAGACCATGTATACTTGATTTCCTATTCCATCCTTCTTATGGGAAACCTGAATAGTAAAAGGTAGTTTAGCCTCAGTGAGGCAGAAGCACCTGGTTATTGCAATTTTGCAAAAATGTTCCAATCTGTCTCAAATATATTATAAAGAGGTGCCAGATCCATTATTACGAAATTCCAAAATCCATATGGCATTTATTGAAGTAAATGCACCAGTCCACATCTCCTATTATTTCAGCATGCTCGTTGAGTTTGCCAGGTAGCCCGTGCAAATGACACTTAATTAAAATTTTTTTGGAACTCCCATTTTTAATAAAAGTGTAAACAGGAAAGAAAAGTGTGATGTCTGCAACCTCCTCCCTTTATGTATTTGCAGGTCATGTTTGCATTCTGAGTTTTGCAGCCCAAATTTGCAAACTCTTGACCTAAAAAAAATCTTAACTGTCATGGGAAGTATGATGCTAGAAATGACAGACTACAGACTCTTCCCCTGCCACCCACTTCCCTTTTTTACTAATAAAGAGAAACAGATCTCTGCTATTTTCTTTATTAAAATGATTATTGAAGCAACTGTTATATTCCTGTTTGAGAAGATTGGTAAGGTTTGTGAAGTGAATCAGGATTTTGCTTGTTCAGTAATAGCTAAGACAGATACATTTTGCTACCACTTATTATTTCTTTAAAGTAGTAAAGGAAAATATTTTAACTTTACAGTGCTGTAACTCTCCACAGGTGATGTACTAGGAGATGTCTGGATACTAAGTTGCTTTTTTTCTTATTTTTCTTGTAAAATGTCTGTAACCTTGTAATAACCCTACTAAGCAAAATCTAGAAGAAAACAAACTGTATGTTTTATTAAGTTGCAGTATGTATGTAGATACTGGAATAAGGATTAAATGGTGTAGAATAAATTGTTCATTTTGGAAAAATATATAAGCAGATTGGTACCATTCAGATGAAAATATGAGCCCAATTGAGACTGAACGAACATGTGTTAAAATCAACATGTCTCAAAATGTTGTCTGACAATGCATTGAGATGAATTCTTGTTTTACACTCAAGGTTTCTTTTCCCCACCCTCCAACTCAGTGAATAAGGATCTAATGTTCTTGTTCTTCAGTGACAATGAGTGGATGAGTGGGGTTTTTTTGTTTAGCTTTGGTTTTGTGCACAAGTGAATATTTTCTGGGTGATGAAGGCAAACTAACATTTTGATCATATGGCAGTAGTATTTTCAGGTCCTGTTTAACTGGAAAGTTCAGCTAAATCTGTATGGCTAATATTAGTTCTGCTGTTTCTGAGAAATGGAAGATTTAAAGATAAATTCTATTCCTTGGATGAATGACCACTTGCAGTGTGTCAGTGAAGGCCCCACACCATTGCCATGCAGAATACAGCAAAAAGCACTGGCATGGGAATTGTCTGCCTGAGATGCTTAATTAGTTTGATGGGCAGAGTTACAGAAAAATAAATAAAATGCCAGTGGGGATGGTGAAAAGACACAAAATTGCTCCCTTCTGAAGGCCCTGGAGAAAGGGTAGATTTTTCCCTTCACCAAAACTGAGTGGCTTTGCTACTGCTGGGGACAGCATTGGGCCTGTGAGTGTTGTGATTTAAAAAAAAAAAAAACCAAAACTCTTGATTTGATGCTGGCTGCTCTGCTAAAGCACTCAGCCTCTGTGTTCCCTAATGACCACTTGGATCAATGGTTTAACAGGCCAGAATATTAAGGTAGTGAATGAGCAATGTAGCTGTGTGTGCAGGGTAGGAAACTGTGCTTATTTAAGTAGGGGTTGCTCTCGCAGAGGTGAGAGCACAAGAGCAATATCCTATATGCTCTGGTATAAAATCGACTTGAAAATCACTAGAATGGTCAAGAAAAGTAGCTTTTTATCAGTTATTAATTAATATAAATCCTTCTCACAAGCTGTTGGCTCTCAGCATTCTGTCTCTCATGAGGGTTTAAATCTTATTTTGACTGAACACATCATTCTTTATTAACCAGTTACATGCTTGTGCTGAATTTCAGATTAAGGGATGGTAGACAACCTAGAAACAATTACGTTTGTCCTCCCTTCCCAATGTACTTTTTTTAAACATCTCAGAAAAAAATGTCTGTAGCAATGAACTAGACCAGAGGTAAACAGAGTTAAGATGCAGTATCTTTTAGAATTTTTCAAATGTAGCCTCAAAAGATGTTAAGATGGTTAATGTAACTACTGCTTCAATATTGAAGTCCTTCTTGTACCAACACTGCTTTAAGGTATTGGCACACAAGGAATTAGAGTTACTGATACTACTTTTCATATTTAATTATATCCTAATAGTTTTTCATTGTGTCAACTCTTTCACAACTAGAGATATTTGTCCCTAAATCTTTAATTAGAGTGGTTGGCATTTTATTTAGTTAGAGTTTTGAATCATCTCGGATATCACAGAGGGTGGCAGCAGAGTCTCTCTGCACAGATGGGCTTGGACTTCTGAGCCAAGCTTGTGGGCTGTT